ACAATAGGCAGAGAAGAGACAGCACTCCCAGGATTACATTCGGGTTTCGACTGTCACACTAAGACTAGAAATAAATCAAGAACGGAGGCAGCAGCCAGCACTGTACAGAGGGGGAAAAGGTTTTCACTTATCTTCTCCAACTCTATAGCCACATGTAGTACTCAGACTCCTCTGTCACGATACTTTTCTTTTCTGAGATTCAGCAGTTCAGAGGCCTGAGATATCCCAACACATTTGCTTTCATTCTAAAACTAAATACCCCTAACACGTTCTTGGTTCTCCCGCTCCCAACCCACTTGGTTACATCCATACTGGCAGTAGATGGGACCATGTTTCACACCATGATTTTGTGCCCTCTTTACTCCATGAGGCCTACTGAAGGGTACATTGTTTCCCTAGTAACGTGAACATACAACCATGAAATCATCATTGTTGTTTAAACAAAGATCTTTTATGACAGAGAGAGAGAGAGAGAGAGAGAGAGAGAGAGAGAGAGAGAGAATATTAGTTTGTATGTGTTACCCTCTTGTACTGTTTAGCTGTGGTTTCAAGAGCAGTTGACTTTCAGGCGGCATCTGAGGACAGTGAAGATGTGAAGTTACCATGACATGTCAGCATTTCATTTGCTGACACACAACTGAATGTGTCACTTTCTGAAACCTAATTCTGGGAAAGTTGAAAGTTCAATTGGAAGTTTCAATATTTCGGTCTCAAGTCCTCCAGAAAATTGTTATTTAAAGGAATAAATACTGAAATCTTTGAAGTGAATACACTAGTCCTAATTTGAGCCTAGTGACATGAATTTTATTTGGCTATGTCACGTCATGGGAAAATACAGACCTTTAAGTTATATTTTACTTTGTTGTTCAATGTTCAAGTGGCTTACAGTAATGCTTAAGCATCACAGTGCCTGTCCTTGCCCATACTGTATTAAAAGGATATCGTGGTTATGATTTTAACGGTAAAATCAGCTAGCAGTTATCAAGGGCTTATTATACACCAAGTGCTGTACTAGAAGATTGACTTCTGTTTATTTTTTTTATCCACCTTCAATCTGGGTGCTAAGGAGTTTGTTTTACAACTTGAAAAATGAAGCAGCGATCTTGTCACTCACAGGCCTACAAGGTGGACGCACTGTCTGAAGTCATTCCCAGTCACCTAGCCTGGTTTGTTATTACCTCAGTTGTATCGCACATGCTCTTGTGTTCACACATTTATCGAAAGGACTTCTGCGCTGAAGTAAAACCGAATGGTGGATTTCAGTGTCGGAGAAGAAACATGGGGCCTGGAACTGGCTAGGTGAGTGCTTATCCCTGAGCTACACTCCAATTCAAGTCCATCTTCACGTTTTATTCCAGACTGAATTGTTAGAAATGTAACACAGATATGAACTAAGATTCAAAAGTCTTAGAGACACAGACAGATTATGACCTGCCTACCATACTGTATAAATCACAAGTACCAAGGGCACTGTCCACCAGCTAATTCAGCTTTGAATGTGGATTTCAAATGAATTTTTGTAGAAGTGTGGTGTTGAATATCCTATATACGTTATTATTTCAGTTCACCTGTAAAACAGGATTCACAATTGAAAGCTATTCAAATGGTCTTGGCTGACCTCATTTCTTACATAATTCCACAAGTCTCAGAAATAAAATGGTTTTGTTATCTCATTTGTGGTACTAGATGTTGATTTAAAAAAAAAAGTAGTCTGCGTCTCAAAGTACCTACACCTACTTGTGGCCACTTGGTTTAGCTACAGCACCAGATAGCGTTATCCCATCACATGAGGGACTCCTGCCATCCACAGGGATGTTTCTCCTTATTACTTCTCAGCTTAGTGTAGACTTGGTATTCCCTTCCAAGCATTACCAAGCAGTAAAAAGTGATGAGCCAACTGATCCGGTCCAGCATCCCTCGCCCCCCCTAAAACACAAGAGAGACAAGTGTAACAACGTAAACATAAGACTTCCGATTTCAACTCCAGCCTTTGCTCTCCAGAACATTTCTTGGGCCACTGGAGTATCTTAGGAAATGATGAGAAAATTTAATGGAAAGCCTGAAAAATTTTCAGTGATTTGTATTTAATACGGTCACATGATTAAATTGTTGTATAGGGAAAAGGAAGAAAGAGAATGGAAAATAAGGTGGTAGGGTCCTACGTCATGCCCGTTGTACACACACATACACGAAATTAGTTTCAATCTCATTTTGTAAGCAAGAGAACAATGGCTATGAGGATTTAAGTAACTTGCCCAAGGTCACCCAACAAGAAAAAAAATGCTATATTGTTTCAGATCTGTGTCTGTTTGACAAAGTTAGAACTTTGTTTATTTAAATTCCTTCACCCCCTCCACCCCTCCTACCCCCATCCCCATCCCTGTCACCAGGTACAAGGAACTGAATGCAGGCCTTGACGCACATCAGACAACCAGCATCATCAAAGGATTTCTAGCCTCCACCCAGACCTAGAAGGCTGCATCTTACAAAGCTTTAGAAAACTCCCTACGGAAAGTCTCTCCTGTGCATACAAGAAGATAACCTTTCACTTGAATAAAATGGATAAACCAGTAGGTGCCAGCTATGAGTTACAATGGAGAAGATTCATTTGTTTGCTCAGGGTCTCCTCACTAAAGTAAATAGGATCAAATACAACAGTAGTTCTCACAGACTACCAAATACTAGAATATAGTTAACAAAGCCCATATAAGACGTCACATCTAATAAGGTATTAATAAATACTGGCCAATCACAGTCTGGCACAAAGCACTCAAACACTGAATAAGTAAGCTGTCTAAGAACTTGCCAATTTCATTCATCTCAATGCTTATCTATTGATGAGGAAGAAAATACTGAGACATCAAAACTACTAACTATTCTGCCAATTTTTCTTTTCCTCCACAATGCCACCTCCATTTTAGTCTGAAGAAACCAAGCAAATCAATTAATCAAACAAAAAACACCAAACACCAAAAATAGTTGAAACCAGAAAAAAAGGAAAAAGAAAGAAAAAAAAACAGGCAAGCATGTATGTTTTAAAAAATACATATTTAATAGTTTTTTTTCCTCTTCCATTTGAAAGCAAACTACCCCAGCTCTTGAAAAATCAGTCAGCTCCCACCACTTCGAGGCTTTCCACCAAGTTCCTTCATTATCTGTCCTTCATGCCACGAAGAAGGCAGAGGCAAATCAATTCTCCATGGGCTGACTGTAGTTGATGTAAGTGACTCTGAACCAATATTTATCTTCTAGCCTCTTTTATTATTAATTTGCTTGATTAACCCAACTTTGTTGACTTAGCTAATAAGCTGGTTTGGAGAAGGGCTAATGCTAAAATCACTTCTACTCTGAGCAGGTCTTGAAGCTGAACTTGAGTTGATCTTGTAGAAAAAAAGGTGGGGTCAGAAATGTACACATAATGAATTCTTAAAGAAATAGAACAGAAGAGTGTCATGGTGGAGGGCATCTTCACTGAAGTACGACAGGTCCAGCATGAATACATGGCTCCGTCCTTTACTGACTCTCACATGAGAGAAGCATGTCAAGGCACTGCCAAGGAACATGGTTCTTAAAACACCCAAGGATGGGGAGGATGACACTTTTTCAAGCAAATTTTAAACACGCATCACAAATACCACAACTGGTTAAAGGTCTGTGGATGTGTGACATAAAACCTTGCCGTGGGACTGAAACATCCCATCCTGCAGGAAGCTTCTTAACAGGGAAGGCAAACAACTCAAAATACTTTTAGGAAGTCCCTGAAATTGACCAGGTTCACTAGGGCCCCTGTCTGCCAGAGTAAGCAATAAAAGCTGAAAGTCCCTTTGCAGAGGAGTGGAGTTGGGCCGCAAAGCGACTCAGACAATCTAAGCTGCTAGGAGAGCTCCGGAGTCTAGAACAGCTCCCTGGAAGAGGTTTAGACCACTGAGTCACTTGGAAAGGACAGATTCCGGCCTATTGAGCTGCCTGCAGGCTGTGTGTGTTCCCAGATTCCCCAGCTTTTGTGAGCTGTCATCTGTGCTGGGAGCTTTGGAAATACAGCTGTCTTTGAGTCATTTCTGCTTCTGCAAGTAACCCCTCACCTGCATTCCTCTTAGTAACCACAATAAAACCCATTCGCTCACCAAGTTGAACTTTGGTGCTATCCGTACTTCGGTCTGTCCCTACCTAGGGTAAATAGACGCAGATGTGTGTGTTGCATCTCCCGAGGAAAATTTTGTCATACAATAGGATCATCCCTCCCCAAACCATTTTTTTTAACATACCTTAAAGTATATATCTAGGACGGGCGATGATGGTATGTACACACCTTTAATTCCAATACTCGAGAGGCAGGCAGATCCCTTTGAGTTTGAGGCCAGCTTGGTCTCTACCTGGTCTACAGAGCGAGTTCCAGGATAGCTAGGGCTACACAGAGAAACCCTGTCTCAAAAAACAAAGACAAAACAAAACAACAACAACAAAAAAGGTACATATTCTGATTCCTTTACCTGATAAGTAAAAGCAAGCAGAAAGGTAGGGGTAGGACCAAAATAAGCAGCTATTTTAAAGATTTATTTATTTATCATGTATACAGAAGAGGGGGCCATTACAGATGGTTGTGAGGCACCATGTGGTTGCTGGGAATTGAACTCAAGACCTCTGGAAGAACAGTCGGTGCTCTTAACCTCTGAGCCATCTCTCCAGCCCAATAAGCAGCTATTTTAAAAATAGCAAATTATTTTACTGCATCCTCCTTTATAAAAAGTACAATGTGTTAGATCATCAAAGTCCTAATTATGGACAATTACTTAAAGCCTTTTGTGGAAAAATCAATGCAAGTAAGTGCTAGTGCGGAGAAAAAAAAACTGAATAGGTCTTGGACTTAGGACGTTTGTTGTTTTGTGTAAAAGCATGCAACCCTGGAGGCAATCGGGAAGAAGACATGTATTGGTTCAAGGATCTGGGAAAGCTCTAAGAATGTGGAATGTGGAACTCGGCACCCACAGACAATCCTATGATGCCTCTGGACAGAGAGCTGGCCCAGTAGAATTCCACATGAAGAGGGGACCAGGCATGGGCAGAGAGGAGTGAAACTCTAGACTTCTAGAGCAACCACAGTTGACTTCCCAGGTGTGAAAGGAATGTGCTCAGAAAGAGCCTGTGGGAGGTGAGGCCAGAAAGTAAAGTTAGGAACAGGAATCCAGGCATCCCTGGTGCCTTGACAGGCATGGAGTTGATGGAGGAGGGGAAGAGGAACTCCATATGAACTGAACTCAGGTTTGCCAATATCCCTGTAAGTGTAATAAATATTATAAGAAAAAAGGAACCAAAGGCATCGGCTAAGAACTGTGGTGGTTGTTTGTTCTCTAACAAGTAAGCTTGCCTGGAGAGCAGAGTGTGGAGCTAGCCACTAGCTAACCATAGAGGCCATCCTTTAGGTAAGGGAGAAGGGAAAAGAATTCCAGACTGTAGAGAGCCCACTGGCTGAATCACCTTATGAACAGCTCTTAGATCTGTTAACATTCTCCATTTTCCAGATTTCTTTTTAATAACAAACACAGGAGAATTCCAAGGGCTGGTTGCGTCTTCAGTATGCCAAGCATTTAGCTGCTCCTGTACCAGCTCTTCTAAGGCCTGCAGTTTCTCTGATGTTAAAAGGCCATTTCACGCTACAAAGAACAGCAGGAAACAGAAGTTCAAAAGCTTATTATATTCTACAATATATACTATATAATATATAATATTTAACATGTTGTGATATAGTAAAAATATAATTTATTTGTGGTGAAATCAAGTGCTCATCTGAGATGGACCAGCATGTGTGACCAATGGGCGAGACAACCTCAGAGAGTTGCTATGTGTAGGTTAAATAGGAGACTTGCTATATACACCAAAGGTCTGACTGAAACAGCAAAGGTAGAAGAAGGGAGGCTGGCATGGAGTTACACTTTGGCTGCTTCTGATTAGTTAGTAGGTGTAGGACACGTTAGAGGAGGCCGCAGAAATCAAAGTGGAAAGAAAAAGTGGTTAGTGAAAGTCAAGGAACCAGTGCCTGGTGAAATGCACTCGGGTGAAGCATAAAGGAAGCCTCCAGGCCTCTGCTGGGAAGACCCCAGCCCCAGGCCTCTGTTGGGAAGACCCCAGCCCCAGGCCTCTGTTGGGAAGACCCCAGCCCCTGGCCTCTGTTGGGAAGACCCCAGCCCCAGGCCTCTGTTGGGAAGACCCCAGCCCTGGGCAAACGGATGCTGACATGGGAACATCAGGGCTTCAGCAGGCTATACCCACTGACAGAAGAAACTAATCATCCACCTCCAAAATCTACAAACAGAACCCCCACGAAGAAAAGTATGATGTGCACACATGTAAGACTGGTTTTCAACATGGGCGGGGGGCGTCAAACGACCCTTTCACGGGAGTCACATATCAAATATACTGCATAGAAGATATGTATATTACAATTCATTACCAGTTGCAAAAATAACAACAAAACAATTTTATGCAGGGGGGGTGGGGGGTGGGGTCACCACAGCATGAGGAACTGTATGAAAGGGTCACAGCCTTAGGAAGGTTGAGAACAACTGTTGTAAAGCAAATGAACTCCTATGTGAAATTCCTTAATCTGATACAAGAATAATGACGTGTGTGTGTGTGTGTGTGTGTGTGTGTGTGTGTGTGTTAAGTACATTAGCATAACTGAGATTAAAAAAAAATCCTTCTCTTCCACAAGCAGGAAAAATACTAAGTAAAACAGAGTATCTCAGTCCACTATAATCTTCAGAGAATGTATGCAACGGGGCTAATTGTACACAGTCTCACCAGCCCTCACCCAGTTTCCTCACACTAAAGTACTCAAGGATCTCCATCACCCAGAGCATTAGTGTGCCGAGACCCAGGAAGTTCTCTTCCTTTTTGAGTCTGGCAACTTCGAGTACAGTCCTCACCTCCACCCTAAGACCCCTTGTGCTTTGGGACAAAACGAACAGCTGGCTGACTGAATTCCTAGCACATTCTCTACACACCTCAGCTGCAGTATCTACACCCCTTTAAGAGAAGCGCCAGAGCAGGGCACGGTGGCTAATACCTGTAATTCCAGCATTTAAAAGCATGAGGGATGAGGATCCCAACTCTGAGGTCGGCCTGAGCTACTGTCTCCAAAGATGAGGAGCAGGAGGAGGAAGAAAAGAAAAAGAAAAAAAGAAAGAGAAAAAGGACAAAGAGGAAGAGGTGAAAGAGGAGGAAGAAAAGTCAACTCAAGAGTTCCCTCTCCCAGAATGCCTCAGGCCTTCCATCGCATCCCTTTGGCTAGTTCCCCTCACCGATTATAAACTTCCAGCCACAAGGAAATCTTACCTTTTTTTTTTAATTAATTAATTTATTTATTATGCATACAGTGTTCCAGCATGCATGCCTACATGCCAGAAGAGGGCACCAGATCTCATCCTAGATGGTTGTGAGCCACCATGTGGTTGCCTGGAATTGAACTCAGGACCTCTGGAACAGCAGCCAGTGTTCTTAACCTCTGAGCCATCTCTCCAGCCCCGAAATCTTACCTTCTTATACCTACTATTTAGCCCCAATTTCTAGCATCAAACAATTTAACAATATGTTGAGTAAATGAACATTTTTTCCAGTTTCCTAGTAACTGATCAGGTTTTGGGTACTTGTTATTGTGTATATTTAATGCTACTATTTACGAATTGAATGAAGACATTACTCCTAATTCCACTCGCATATTCTAGTTACAAAGATAGATTTGTAAAACTGTAGAAATATTATAGAAATAGTTGCATCATTGAGTGTAATGTTGGAATCTAATAACTTAATCCCATATAATATCAAAGTGGGATTCAGTCCACACCCTGCTCTCCACGCCTAAATACCATCACTTTATTACCAACATTGACATTACTCCACCGGTCATTTACCAGTACTCTAATAACATGAATAGCTGCCTAAGACTCAGGTGATTCCTATGACTGCCACTACCACAGACAACGACGACGATTTTATAAGGTTCTCGATCTAGCAACTAACCAGTGATTTGCAGCCTTTCTGATGCCCAGAATCCCGTGGGAGGTCTAGAAGATTTCCAGGATGCCCCCTCATCTTTCTGACTGTGTACACTTTGGATTGGGTTTAAGTAACTGCAATTTTATTAAACTCCCACCCAGCGGACACTGGCTCTGGTGGAAACTCTTTCACAATACCTTGAGGGTCAAGTTGTTTGCAGACATCTGTTTAGCTAAGCGGCCCTCGGGACACTCTGTTTCTAAAAGGGGACAAGGACAAAAAGAAACCCACTAGGAGTGAAAGAGAGTTTCGTGAGCTAAGTAAGACTTCAGAGGAAGAAAACGGACCAATAGAATACTTCTGAGTATTTCTGAGTAAGCAAAGTCAAGACAATAGATAATATGGAAGTTGAATTCAACCCAAAAAAATCTTATTTCCAAATTTAAATCCATGGGGGGGGAGGGGAACATGGCTGAAAAAAGCCAAGGGAACTTTACAAAGGGATGTTAATAATTTCAACATAGCCTACCGGACATTACAACATACTCTAAGAGGCCCCAGAGAGATGGCTCAGTAGATAAAGGTGCTTGGCCTGTAGGCCTGATGACCTGTGCTCAGTCTCTGGGCCCCACATAAAGGTGGAAGGTGAGGTGAGAATCGACTCCAGGAAGCTGTTCTCTGACCTCCACTGCATACTCTGGCATGCATGCTCCTACACAAATTAATTTTTACATAAAGACAAAACATACTGTAGGACACCTCAAGTAACCTATCTTTGGCATAAGGAAAAGGGGGAGAAAACTAAATAAGGCCCAGAAATAAACATATAAACAAAAATAATCTCAATGCAAGATAAGGCATCATTTCAAATCAATCCTAAAAAAATCAATTATTCAAGAAATAAATAACAGAAAAGAATAACCATTAGCTGGGCACACCTTTGATGCCAGCACTTGGAAGGCAGAGGCAGGCTGATGAGCAGTTGAGTTCCAGCATAGTCAAGGCTACATACAGATACCCTGTCTAGGAAAAAGGAAAAGAAAAAAAAAGAAAAGAAAAATAACCTTCATTTTATTTCTAGCAGATATTTAATAATACTTTAAGATAAGGGAATATTTTGCATATACAAGTTTTTTTTAAGTAAGACAAAGGAAAATAAACAGAAATATCTCTAAAATAATAATAAAACTAAAATGCTTCAACAAACAAAGCTGCATGATTTTCACTAAGGCTGGGGAATATTGAGAACAGGACATACAGAATCAATGGGTTTGACATAATGAAAGTTTTTAGAACAGTCAGCTGGCTGGGCATGGTGGCTCATGCCTTAGGAAGATCTCTATTAGTTTCAGGCTAGCTTGATCTACACAGCTAGTTCCAAGTCATCCAGAGCTACATAGTTAGACCCTGTTGAGCAAGGAGAAATCAAATAAAAAGATGAATGTGCAAACATAGAAGAGATCTCTGTCTACCCTGTGAACATGTGTGAGGAAAACAAAATGATTATTAAACATATTAAACATGTTAAGAGCTCATAAACCATTGAAGAAACACAAAACAAAAATATAATTGCCCCTTAATTAGAAGCTGCCATCGCTTCACAGATGCAACTAAAAAACAGAAACTTCTAAGGAAGGCCTGGTGACAGCAGGAAATGCATGCATGTCCAGCATGAGGGGAATGTAAGACAGAAGACAAAATAGTTCCTCAGCAAGTTCATGCGGACTCATACTTAAAAACCTGAGGCCATTTTTCCACCAACTTTCTTTTTTTTTTTTTGGTTTTTCGAGACAGGGTTTCTTCTCTGTGTAGCTTTGCGCCTTTCCTGGAGCTCACTTGGTAGCCCAGGCTGGCCTTGAACTCACAAAGATCCGCCTGCCTCTGCCTTCCGAGTGCTGGGATTAAAGGCGTGCGCCCGGCCATCCACCAACTTTCATTTAGAGCGCAACTTGATTTTAAAAGCTAGTTTTTTTTTTAAGGTTATCTCAGAAGAAAATCAATGAGCAACAGCTAGTTGACCTCCTTTTTTTTTTTTTTTTTTTTTTTTTTTTAACTTCAGGAATATCCAAGTCTTTCTACTTGAGAGAGTTCAAAGCATCCAGCAAAAACACCAAAACGCTGATGAGAAACTTGAGGGGTTCCAGCAAATCTTTAAAATCACCTCATTCTCTGAAGTCACCAAATACTAATGTGTGATGTGTTTTCAAGCTGATTAAATTTTGGTGAGTTTATCAGAAACAAACAAACACTGGACAACAACTGAACACACTCTGGTCCGCGGCCTAGACTTGTTGCTGCTCAGACCCGCTTTCTCCAGTTCAAGGGTCACTAGTATCCTGGCTGGGGTGCTTTAAGTGCTCTATGATTAGAATAAAAAGATGTTTTCCTTCAGAAACAGCCCTGACAACTTTTAATTAAACAGACTCATGGAAACGAACTTTGGCCAAATGAGGACAGCACCTTGGAGCGCAATGACAGGAAACAGCTCCTCAATGTCACCCAACTCTCCATTCCCCCCAGAGAATCTGTCAAGATTACATACATACATGTAACTTCTAAATCCAGATGTGAAAATTGACTTGTTGAAGACCACAGTGAGTAGGATTCTTCTGTGCACATGGGATGGATATAAAAGCATCTAAGAAAACATTCTTATGTAAGAGAAGGCTGTCATAGGCTCAGAGACAAAGTCTTCTGAAAAGAAAGCATCACTAATGATAAAATCTATTTGTGTGGCTGCTTATTTTCTTTCCTACAGGAAAAGGCAATGAAGCTTTTTAATATTGACAAGGTGTACTTATATTATCTCTACATCTTACCAGGTAGAGCCTTTTCTAATGATTGCTACAGGCCAGAGAAATGTGCTTACAGAGAATCACATTCCACGAATTAATGAAAGAGCCTGATTTATACTTGGGAACCCACGATCCCAAGCCAAGTATCAACTACTGACTTACTAAACAGAACCTGAGAGCTGCAGGTAGGGAGAGAGCTCAGTCCCCATCCCTGTCCGAGAAGGTTTGCCTTGTGAAGTGTGGAAACTTATTTCCACCCTCAGAAACCACGTGACAAGTCAGGCATGGTGGTGAGGAGCCTTGCGATGCCGGCGCTCGAGAGGCGAAGACAGGGTAACGCCTGGGGTTCTGTGGCCAGCCAGCCTAGCACATCTGTGGACTGCCTGGCCAGTGAGAGAGACCCCGTCTCAAAACAAAATGGGGAGAGGGGGAGTGTGTATGTATCATGCATACATCCTATGATGTGGTAGCTATTCAAAAACTTCCAGCACTCAGCTAGAGACATCTGTTCCACGAACTTGTACTCAAGGAGTTACTACTGTCCTTAGTTCTTCTCTTTACATAGAGCTCCTTCAACTACTTCCGGTGTGTCTTGTCACTCTAGGAAGATCAGTCCCAAGCTTAAGGCAATGGAGATGACTTGCCAAAGTCTCCACGGATGAAGAATAGCTGTCACTACTGTTGCCTGTCAAACTGGCAGTGTGACCCATGCCTACTGTGCCAGCCGGCCTGGCAGGGGAGGAACAAGCCGAAGTTAACCTCCTCTTGCTACCATAGCAATGAACCTCAGTCCTCCTGGGTTACAAAATATTCCCTTCAGGAATTTTCCCTTTGGCACCTCAGAGGCCCTTGCAATGCGTGCTCCGTGGTGAGGACAGCTTTCTCCACACTTGCCTTTACAGACCCAGGCTGAGAACGGCAGTTTTGATACTGGCTTAGAGTCAAGAGAAATCTGTGCTAACTTCCTCGAGTCTGTTGAAAACCGAGCTTAGGAGAATTCTGACCAGGGAGGAAGAGAATACACATATTCACACAGTCTACATTCCTGTACACTTCCTCAAAAGGCCCAGATACCTTACAGACCAGACATGATACCATCCGATACTGAAAAATAAAAACACTATTTGATGTTCATAGTAACTGGCATTTCAAGATTTGTATTTTCATTTTATATATATACACACACACACACACATACATATACACACATATCTATATATGTATGTATGTATATATATATATATATAAAGTATTGTTTACATGCTCTCAGAGGTTTTTAAAGATGCATGTACATATATGTGTGTGTGTGTGCACACACATGTGTATGTGTGAGTGTAAGTGTGTGTGAGCGCAGGTGTGTGTTCACGAACAAGAGGTTCTTTCACCAGTGGGTTCTCTCCTGCCACCTTGTGGGATCCAGGGATGAACCTCAGGGTGTCAGGCCTGAGCACCAGCAACCCTACCCACCTATCCTCCCCCCACCCCACCCCCCAGCCATCTGCCAGCCAACAGTGTATATTATTAAGAAGACAGAAATCAGCTTTTCCTCTCAGCCAAAATGATTTTGTTCTATGAATATAATTTCCACGTATTATAGTAATATTATCAGTGCAGTTCTTGCTAATACCCAACCCAGTATCTGAAAAGGTTCATTTTCAGTAAATACATGTTAACTTAAAAAAAAAAAATCAATGAACAGTAGATTAGAAAGATTTCTTATCCTTAAAATGAACTACCTGCTAAACAGGCTGAACCCACACCTTTCCTAACTAACTCTCTCCCTCCCAAGTCCATTTCTACACATAGAACCAGCTTCTCCACTCTTTAAAGGAGCCTGGGCAGTCCTAAGCCTTTCAGGCTCCTGTACACCAGTGTTAAGCATGCCTCCTCAGGTGTTCACACTTCTACCCCAGAGTTAAGCATGCCTCCTCAGGTGTTCACACCTCTACCCCAGAGTTAGGCATGCCTCCTTCAGGTGTTCACACTTCTGCAGGACTGCTAAGACACCTGGGCTGCACTCCTGCAAAGCACACATCTATCTGAGCGGGGCTAGTGGTACCAATCTGAACTCCCTGAGGACAAGCTGAGGCCACTTGAACTACACCGTGGGAACCTCTTTTGAAGAACAGGGAACCAACCAAGCCACCACAAAAGAAATGACATGCAGTCAAGACCTTAGTTCAACTCCCTCCAATAGCTAACAGCCTCTATTTCCCCAAAGAACATCCCTCCCCTGGCATCTCACCCCCATGATGCTCAGAGATTCCTCTGAAGGCTGCAATGATTTCCAGTTCCTACTGTGGCATTAAGCCTGAGGGCGGGTCCTCCAGAGCATCGGGCTTGGAAAACGGCCTTCTCCCAAACTAAGGCTGACATCTCTTTCAGTTAATGATTTCACTGGGAACAGTTCAGTGGCTCAAAAGGTGAAAGGTTAAAAATAACACCAAACCACACAGGGATACTCACAGGACTTGCTAAGCAGACATTTCAAAAGGAATTTTTAAATGAATTTTAAGTAAGTTACAATACAAACTGAGAGAAAACATGAATACAATGCGTGCAGTCAAAAACCCTAAATGCTCACGAAGCAATCCAGAAGCATTCATGCTATCTACAAAGTTGTGTGAACTACTTTAGAAAGAATGTGGACTTGAAGGTATAAACCAGTGTTGTAATAAATGAATCTGTAAAATGTTGCTCACTGTGGCTCCCATCAGGATCCTGCTTAACAAACGTGGCTCTATCCCCAGGATACAGTAAGAGAATAAAACTGCTTATAGGGTATTTCTATAGAGTATTTGACCACTGGAGCTTTTTTGCATGGAATATGTAAATTTGTTAAGATTAGAGTGCACTAGGGAAATGTTAAAATGCCAATTATTTGCATTATTACCTCCCTAAAGCAAAAAGAATTATTTTTCTTTTTAAAGTCACTAGTTCTTTAAATATTCTGGATTACATGTTAACTTTACAATAAAAAAATGATTTAATTAAATTTTTTAAAAAAAGTGTTTTGTCCCATTTAAGGTTAGTTCTGCTACACTCTGGCCTTGCCACCCTAATGGTCCTCCAAGACAGAATGTACAGCAGTTCCAAGATGCAGATAGTTCCATGTAACCTCCATGCTTGGTTTTCAGACCTGCCCCTGCCTGGTCAGGTGACTCTGCACAGTAACGCTTCAAGATGCAGAATCCTTTTCAGGAAAAGTACTAGATGTCAGCTGGATGTCACCACTGACCACAGGAGAACACGTCAGGCTGCTAACATGACACCTGGTAAGTTGGCATCACTCCTGTGACCAGTCCCGGGCAAGTCAACACTATTGTCTTTTGGTTGTTGGTGGTTTTGTTTTGTTTTGGGGGGTGGGGTTGAGTCAGGGTCTCACTATGTAGTCCTGGTTGTCCTGAAACTTGATATATAAAACTCATGGAGATCCACCCACCTCTGCCTTCCGAGTGTTGGGATTAAAGATGTGTTGTCACCTGCCTGGAACATCAGGACCCACAGACTGGATGACCCAGAGACTAGCACAGAAGCAAACATGACTGAAGGAAAAAAAATGTCAATGCAATGATGCCTAATGATATTCCACTATATTCACAGGTTGGTGCCTAGTCCACTTGTCACGGGAGAGTAAACAGATGCAGACCCACAGCCAAACATTAGGCAGAGCTCGGGGAATTCTTCAGGAGAGGGGGAGAAAACATTGTAGAAGCCAGAGGGGTCAAGAACCTTACAAGAAAACCCACAGAATCAACTAACCTGGGCTCATAGGGGCTCACAGAGACTGAACTGACAACCCGGGAGCCTGCATGGGACCGACCTAGGCATTCTGCATGTATGACACAGTTGTGTGGCTTGGTATTCTTGTGGGACTCCTAACAGTGGGAGCAAGGACTGTCTCTAAGTCTTTTTCAAGCTTTTGAGACCCTACTCCTCATACTGGGTCGCCTTGACCAACCTTAATAGAAGGGGAGGTACTCAGTCCTATGGCAACTTGATATGCCATGTTTTGTTGATATCCATGGGAGACCTGAACTTTCCTGAACAGAAACAGAGGAGGAGTAGATTGAGGGATGAGAACAGAATGGGGATGAGGGGAGGGACTGGGAAGAGAGGAGGGAGGAGTGTGGTATTGTATTCCCCTAAATATTGTGCATGCTAATAAACTTATCTGGGGTCAGAGACAGAGCAGCCACAATATTAAACATAGAGGATAGGCAGTGGTAGCACACGCCTTTAATCCTAGCATTCCAGAGGCAGAAATCCAGGTGTTGAAGGATACAGACAGGCATGGTGACTCATCACTCCTTTAATCCCAGAAAGCAAGCCTTTAAGCCCAGGGAGTGGTGGTAGAAAGCAGAAAGGTATATAAGGCGTGAGGACCAGAAACTAGCAGCATTTGGCCTGGTTGAGCTTTTAGCTGGTTAAGCTTCAGGCTTTTGAGCAGCACAATTCAGCTGAGAGCCATCGGGATGAGGACACAGAAGCTTCCAGTCTGAGGAAACAAGACCAGCTGAGAAGCTGGCCAGGTGAGGTTAGCTGTGGGTCGTTCTGTCTCTCTGATCTTCCAGTGTTCACCCCAATAACTGGCCCCGGTTTTGATTTTATTAATAAGAACTTTTAAGATTCCTGCTACAGAGGAGAAACTGTAAAATAAAAAGACCTTTTTAAAACATGAAATGAAATAGTGTGGGTGCCACCATGCCCAGTGCCACCTAAGCTCCTGCAGCCCTGTGCCTTTCAAAAGTGGAAGTCTGGCTTTACAAATACTCACTTGGGGTCATCATTTACTTGAAAAAGATTTTACAAATATTCGCATGACCTCAGATGCTGTCAAAAGCCTGTGCCACTTGGCAAATGACCTCGTGAAGCACACTGACTAAAGTTAACTGACCAGAATCACGCCGTTTCTCTAATACCTCTCAAGTGCCGAGGAGTCTATGCCTGGGTATAACCAGAATACACCAATGTGAAAAAAGCCAATATGGTGTCAGGAACTTTTGAATGAGACTTTCTTCTTAGACCCCTGCTCCCATCCCCCCAAAAAGGGGGGAAAAGGCATGTAGACATTTGTCTCAAACAAATTAAAAATGTCTAGGACCACCCAGTATATATTCTTGTTAAAACAAACAAAAAAAGAATGAAAAAATCCAAGTTAATATACAAATCCACTGACCTAGTTACCTTCCACTATCAACTTGATACAACCCAGCATGCACCTGGGAAGGGGGAACTTCCCAGGATTTGCCTAGATCACACCGGTCTGTAGACATGTCCCGGGGGACGGCCTCAGTTGATACGGGAAGGTCGAGCCCACTGTGACAGCACCATCTGTAGGATGTGGTGCCAAGCTAGCGGAGCACAGGCCTGGAGGTGAGCCAGTAAGCACCATTCTCCCATGGACTCTTCCCCAGTTCCTGCTGGAGTTCACTGCCTCCATAATGAGCAGTGACCTGGAAGCATAAGCCAAATAAACCCCTTCCTCCCTAAGATGCTTTTGGTCAAAGTAAAACAGTAACAGAAAGGAAAGCTGAACATCCATTTAAGCATATTTGTCCCAATAAAGGCTCTCCAACCCAGCTGTTGAACCCAGGGCTTTGTGTGTGTGTGTGTGTGTGTGTGTGTGTGTGTGTGTGTTATATATGATGTATATATACAACACACATCATATATATATGTCATATATATGATATATATATACATCACATACACACACACACACACACACACACACATCATTTGACTAATATATATACTAATAAAATATATATGATGCCAGCCAGCACTTTCACCCAAGAGAGGGTCGCTCTAAATTGCCGAGACTTGCCCCTCACGCTCGTATTTTCCTTCCGGAGCTACTCCGGAGCTAGGATGGCAGGTGTGTGCACATCTGGCACAATTAAGGTTTTCACTCAAGAGTGGAGAGAGAGTCCTAGCTTCAATGTCTCAAGACAAGCGCAGTGCACACTCCCCTCAAAGACTGAACAGTGCTGCAATCATCTTAGGGAACCAAGATTCAGGAGTCACCGGGACTTCTGCTTATCAGTAACGAAAGCTGGCTTCTAGACAGACACAATTTCACAGCCTCTGCAGCGCACCACGCCTCGGTTTCTTGTTCAGGAGAGGTAGGAGGTCGGTTTATACAAAGAATGGTTTCTCTCCAGTGTTTGACCTGTGGCCACAACGGTATCAAGCTCTTACTCTCCTTGCATGCAGCTGCCACTGAGGCGATCTCACAGGAATACTATCACATGCCTAATCTAATGCGGGGGTGGGGAGGGGGGCACTTTCTTCCAGGGAACAAGCAGGCGATTTCATCAAGGTGTAGTATAGGTTTTGCCTTCAGCAGGCCAAAAGCAAGCACCACGAATTTAGGAAGCTTCACCAAATGTCATCCTCTCCTTCCTGGGAAGGGCAAACGAAAAACGGTCATCCTTGTCCCTCCTTGGCTTCCTGTGATGCTGTCAACATTACAATGGGCTGCTTTCTAATAATGTGGACAGTTTGACATTTATCAAATCTATCCCATGCCTGGTACATGCCAGTCTTATTTCCCCAGTTTGATTCTGTGGTACTAGACTTTTCTCCTAGGCAGGGGTCACACAGTGCCTGAGCCAGCCGGCAACAATGTAGAGACCCAGCGCCAGCTCTTCTGCCCAAGCTCACCCTACGACAGCAGCCTGCCAAGGGCCATCTGACTTCTGGATGGACCAGTTTTGTCTGAAACCAAAACCAATGCTGTTAAATGCCAGAGAGCCAAGTGTGCTGGTTCATTCCATCAGCCAATTGTAAGTAGGCTGCAGCCCTGAATGGAGAGAATGTGACTCACTTTCAAATGCACCAAGGACTGCAGGATCACCTGCCCATATGTTATCATTTCACAAAGGGCTTTTGTTTTGTTTTTAATGAATTCAGTTTGTTCCCTGAAAATTCCACCCATGTATATAATGCATTCCGATTCCTCTTGCCTCCCCCACATACACCCTCATACCCGTGCCTGTCAACACCTTCCTTTCCTCCCTACCTTTCCCTCAAAGGTTTTATTGTTTTGTTGTTGATGATTTTAAAGATAAAGTCTGGTTTAGGAGTTCATCTTACTTTAGGAGACTATAAAATGCTGATGTATTGCCAAAATATCCTTAGAAAAAGAAGAAAAAAAAAAACCTACAGATGAATGTTGTTTCTATGAACTACAGTTTGCAGTTTTACACTCATTTTTGTAGAAAACAAACCAAACACACACACACACACACACACACACACAACCAGCAGCCCTTAAATCTAGGGGATGTGGGAACCACTCAAAAACATCAGAGAAAAGGGTATAGGTAATAGTTTGGCAATTTGGGGAGATGGAAGTTGTTACATGTTTGTTATTTGAGATAGAATCTCATTATGTAGTCCAGGGTGGCCTGGACCTTCAGCTCCTCCTGCCTGGGCTTCCAGAGTTCTGGATTACAAAGTGCTGGGATTACAGGCCTGCACTACTATGCCTGACACTATTGAATTTCTTGCCTTCCTAACACCTCTGAATTCTCAGTCTCTTCTTTCTAGAACTAGAACAAATAGACCATTCACAACTCTATCCTATGTTTCCATCTATTGTTTATGTCAACAGGCCAACTCCTCTGCTAACAGGAGTCCTGTACCAAAATGCCAAGGCATTGACAATTTAGATTTTCCAGCCTTGACATATAAGAAGGAATGATGAGGCACTACTTGCCTACCTCACTTTCAGAACCCCTAACCTGACTTACAAATCAAACGTTCTTTCCCTGTCCTGACTCAAACAGGAATAGTAAGCCCAACTAAGAACAGCACTGTCTATGTGTCCTGTTAATTTTGCCCCATAAATATAAAGTGGAAATAACAGCACTAAGAATTTTCACTTGTTAAAGAGTAAGGATGCTTCGTCTGATCTCAGAATGAGTATGTCTCACAAGGACCACAAAGCTAAGATAGAATCTCAAGAATGATGGGAAAACTACACCAGCAATTTTTTTTAAAGATTTATTTATTTACTATGTATATAGTGTTCTGCCTACATGTATGCCTGCAGGCCAGAAGAGGGCACCAGATCTCATTATGGATGGTGGTGAGCCACCATGTGGGTGCTGGGAATCGAACTCAGAACTCGGGAAGAACAGCCAGTGCTCTTAACGGCTGAGCCATCTCTCCAGCCCCCACCAGTGATTTTATAGTACTGCATCTGACAGCATCTTAGCAACAGCCTAGAGTCAGTGCTTACAGAAGCCCCAATACTCTAATCACCCAGCACACAGCGCAGTGGAGTTCTTCCGACGTTACCAGATGAGCAATTCCCTTGCTCCCATCCCCAACATCAACGTATTCTTATCTAAAAGCTAATCGTTGTTGGTCTGAGAACGTGCAGACATGAAATTAAAACCTGCTATTTACACAAAAGTAGCAGCCCAGAACATGGCCTCAGCCTGTTTTCCTATTTCCCAGGAGATGTAAGAATACAATTGTGATCACTTAGTAGCAAAAGGTCGGTAGGGTGTTCTGGGAGAAGTATCCCTAAACATCTGCCAACAGGGACCTAAAAAGGGGGTAAGAGGGCTTCATAAAGAAAAGGAGTGACTGCTAAGGACCACTAAGTTTAAAGCAAGGTACAAAGCAGCATTACTGGATAAAGAAGAAAACAACACAAACACACATTTGCCCGTGACTCTGAGGAGACACATGGCTCCACGTGCAGGGCGCCAGGTTCTTGATTAACTGAGAAGAGGCTACATGACCCTGAAATAAAATCTTCATGTTACTTCATTGACTGAAATTTTACATCTGATTCACTGTAAAATATTACTTCTGTTAGAGACAACTTTATTGGAACCAGAGGGATGGCTCAGTGGTTAAGGGAGCCTACAGCTCTTACAGAGGACTCACGTTTGGTTCCCAGCAACCCACATCAGACGGCTCACAAACTACCTGTAACTCTAGCTCCAGATCTGATGTTCTCTGAAGGCACCTGAACTCATATGTATACATAAGCATGAACACATATACACTTAAAAAAGTAAAAATATTTTTTTAAAGACAACTTTGTTAGTGTGCTAGCACTAGAATCTATTAACGACTGGGTTGCATACTATTTAAATTATGTTGGTTGTGGGGATCTGAGAAAATTTTCAATCACCGTATCCTATAGCAGGATTCCAAAGAAACAGTAGAACTAGAGCTGGGCATAATCATGCATGTGACCCTGGGTATGACTGGGAATCGGGGTGGGGCCGGAAATGATCATTTTGTTGTTTTAAGAGTGCTTTGATTTGTGATTTGTTTTGCTTCTGCTTCTTTAAAGTCACTTTGCTGTTGGGTTTTGAGACAGTCTCCCACCATTGCAGGAGCTGATATTGATGCGATTTCACTGTCATCCTCCTGCCACGACCTCCCGTGTGCCGCGATTACAGGTTCCAGCCACACAAGGGATGTTAATGTTAATACCAATCACCCCGGGGGTGGGAGTCTACATGGCAGCAGTGAAGGGGCTTAAAAAGAGTTTTCTTGCTGTTAAGTCATACCACGTCATTGAAATAGATCACCTATTGAGAAAACACCCATACACACACTGCAGTTACCTTCATTGACATTGATAAAATTATCAATTTGACTACAGATTAGAGCTCCCCACTCCCATATCACTTACTTATCAGTGACAAAATACTAATATAGAAGCAACTTGTGAGGTGGCTCACCGCTTTTCTTAGTCCCTGAGGGTAGAGAAGCCAGGGGGATTTCAGAGCAGCCAGACCCTGCAACTGAGGCTCTAATTTTGGAAGACTATGAAACAGAGCTAGAGCCTAAAGCAGCTCCAGGCTACAGCCCTCAAAGGTCAGCGCCTGTGACCCACACCTCAGCCAGCCTTCCTTGTGCCAAAGCATCCTTCCAAAAAAGTGCGACCAGCTGGGAATCAAGTTCCCCAAACATGAGCCAGTGGGAGGAGACATTTCAGATTCGAAGCATGCTGTATCCCCAAAGTTATACAGGTTGCTCTTGGAAAGGTTGTATACAATCGCGTGCACAATACATTCTAAATAATCTAAAATCACTTGAGTGTTTCACAACAGGGCCATCGATCGACCAAACCTTCAAATAGCAACCCAGCATTAGCACAGTATGTGTTTTCCCCACCACCAGGAACTGCTGTCTTTCATTGATCAACTCTCTGAATATATGTTCTCGGCTCTTTGTTCCTTTGTTCATCTATCCCAAGTACAAATCTGATCATCCTGACATCTGCATTTAGCAAGAGACACATCACCCAGGCTACCTAAGTAGAATAAGACAATTCTCCCTTTTAAAACTCCCTGAAATTGGTTGCTCAGGTAAACAGTGTGAAAATGTTAGCTAATTACAAAGGGCTAAAGGAAAGAAACTAATACACACAACTGATATACAAATTTTTTAAAAACATCAAATTGTCTATAAATAGAGTTGTTACCCAAATTCCAAAAAATTCACCATTTTATTTTGAAGATAAACATGATTTATACTATTAAAATTCTGAGCTTTAAAGGCATCTATCACCCAAAACAGCTTTTCCTTGGCAGCATTAAACTGGCCCCTAGAACTAAGGAAAAGGCCTCCTCCGTTCTGGACTCCCAAGCACGGCTACCTTTGTCCTCCTTCCACTTCCCTGAGAGGCTCTGCTGTAGCCGGCAAAGCTGTGCATCATTCCCCCAAAATGCCCTGGAGCCACAATGGCTCAGCAGCTCTGTGGTGACTGAACTGGGACACGCTCCTCACCCACTACCCACGTCACACTGCATGATGAGTAACCCCACAATCCATGGAGGGCTAGGCCCTCCAATTCAACCCAAAACACCTCTCAGATGCCTTGAATGATGAGAGGGAAATGGCAAAGTGCCCGAACTTTTACAAATTGCTTCTTGATAGGAAATCGCTTGAAGCACAAGGTGAAAACGGGCAAATCAGAAGTTATGATACACTCACCACTTGGTCCCTGTCTGTGAAACAAAAGTCCTCTTTCTCCTTTCCAAACCATTAATATCACTGACTTGCTTCTCCTTCATGTCCAAACCATTCCAAACATTGTGGGATTCCAGAACCATGGTCTCTACGCCACTTAGCTTACAAAGTAATTATAAGGAAGCAATGAATGACCAAATCTGATTTTCAAATACCCCACTGTTGATGACTGGCCTCCTCTCCTCTTTCCTTTTGTCTTTGTCTTTCTCTCTTTCGCTGAGTTTGGAGACAAGCTCTCACTCAGTACAACAAGTAGACCTCAAACTACATATGTAGGTCTGCCTCACTTTGAGCTTACAGAAAACCTCCTGCCTCAACCTTTCTTACTGCTGGGATTACAGGCATGAGCAGCTACAGTTGACCAATTTTCCTTCAATGTACTTAACAGGCAAGGGAACACACGAACAAAAAGAGAATGGGTTTGAGTTGTCAACGATTATTATTAATATTCAGTTCCTCCCCATCAATTCAAGCTTACAGAGTCTTCTCCGTCTCTAAAAACACAAATCCCAAAATGATGCATTTCAAATATGTGCCTGAAATCATGAATTTGATTTGAAAACCCTTAAAACTTCTCCAGATAAATCCAAAACCACTTCTATGCTGGAAATGCATTCTTAAAGTCTTCACAAAGCCCAGGGCTGCATTTTCTCAGCATTCTGTATGAATGGGGTCCTTATACAGTTCGACAAACACATAACATCATACTTGGAAGGTGAGAATCCCTTTTGAACATTGCACCTTCCAAAGCAGACTGCATTTCCAAAGGAAAATATGGTAAAGGAGAGTGGACTGGAGGTGGAAATACACTGGAGAGAGAAAGTGTGTCCCAAATAGGACGTCAAGGGAAAAATGAGTCTGTTTCCTCTTTCAGGTCACTTTGTGTTAAACATTTTTCTTTGACGTGATGACACAGCCCACACTTTCCTAGATGGGAAAACAGTTCATAGGGAATACTCT